CATACTAAAAAAAAAAAAAAAATGTAAAGCTAACTAAAAACCACCACCACCAACAAACAACAAAAACCACACACCATGTTGCAAAGAGGTACATACAGTATGACAACATTAAAAAATAAAAATTCAGATTAAGTGTATACATAGAAAAAATCTTGGGAGGACATATACCAAATGTTAAGAGTTAGTGCCTTTCGATGGGGAAAGATGGGTTAATGTTTCTTCTGCTTTACTCTATGGCTCGGTGTTCTTCAGGGAGCATATATTCTGAACGTACTAGAATATAAGCTCTATGAGGGGAGAGACTTTGCTTTGTTCACTAGGATAGTGAACAAAGAGGAGAGAATTCTCTTTGTTTGCTAGAAAAGTAACTGACACCTCAATAAATATGTGTTGAATGAGTTAGAAGAGGAGAAACATTTCAAAATAAATGAAGTCTCTCTGGTATTTCTTCCTGTTCATTTGTTATCACAGAAATTGCCTGGACCACGGAGAAGGGGCTCCCATGGAGAATCCTTCCAAATCCTGTCTATCCCACCCTCTGGAGCCTAGGAGCGGGTAAGTTATTCCAACTCAGATCCTTGGAAGGCCCCAGGTGAGGACCCGTGTGTAAGGCACTGGCTACTGAGGGGAGTGCGAAACCAACAGGGCAGGGCCGTGCAGGTTGGAGGGATGGTCGTTCCTGACAACTGGAGGTGTACACACCCGCGTCGGTCTGTCATCGGAGCCTGTGGTGTTGAGCAGCGAGTTATCCATATTCCTCACCATCCGTGCTATCAAGTCCCCCATTTTCAGCCCAGAAGGAGAGGTTCCATAGGTCATGTTTGTGCCATCCTGGGGCCCCATGGGGAGGGCAGGGGCAGTCCAAGAGAAGGAGAGAGAACAAGCAAAGGAAGGTGATAAAAAAGGGGAGACAGAAGGAAGGGAGAGGACAGACAAAGGAAAAGAGGAGAGATAAACAGGATGAATGGAGAAAAGGTAGAGATAAGTGATACAGGAAGAAAATGTTCATCTCTGGGTGTTTCATGCTAGATGATCTGACAAGCTTTCCTATCCAGGCGAGTATTGGGAGAGGAAGGAACAGTAATTCAGCATGAGCCCCTTCCTCAGCAATGGAAGCACCAAGACTATTATACGTTGAGCAGCCTGCTGCAGGTGTGTCTCCTGAAACTCAGGAGGCCTGTCCAGTCTGCCATCTCCTTACCCTTGGCTCTGGTCTCAGTTTAAACCACTTCATTGCACTGAGAGGGGGACTGCAGGCTGAGCTGCTCCCAGATTACAACACAAAGCCCATGCCCCAAGTGAGAGATGTGATCAAAGCTCGATGACTGAGAGGCTTTCTTAGGGAGCCAGTGGACTCAGGTCCATAACCAAGTATCTGGCCAACTTAACAGGAGCATGCTGGGACTGAGCAGTTCCCACACTGACACAAGCCTCTGGATCTATTCCTAATATTCCAGCGCTATTGAAAATCCCCAGGAGCTCTTCTACCTTGAGAAATTCCCAGTTTTCAAAGTTGAGAGCTGGTTCCTGCTTCCTAAAACAAAACATTCACCCTGTCCCAGAGGAGAACCCTGTGATGCTAGTCATTGGGTAAGACTTTCTGATATTTGGCTGCCCCCTGCCCTGCACCCCATACCCCAGACTTACATCAATGGAGCAGCCCATGAGGGAGCCTCTCTCGATGGCTTTCTTCATGATCTTGTACATGTCTCTGGGAGCATCCTTGATCTCAAAAAACTCTGTCACCCCTCCTGTGAAGTCCTCCATGGCCTCTGTAGTGTTCCCGCCTTTCAGAGCTTCATAGGAACCATGGAGCCTTGGAGAAAGGATGAAGATCAGCCTGGGCCAGAGGGTCCCAGGAAACTACTGCCACCAGAACTTTACTCTCGGGTCCTGTTATGTTCTCTCATCAATCCTCCAACAACCCTGTAAGCTAATGGAGAGTTACTATGATTCCCTTTCTTCACAAAGGAGAAACTGAGCTCCAGAGGCTGAGTGACTCACCCAAGGCCACCAAGAGCCAGGGCACTGGGACCAGAAACAAGCTATTCCCACTTCCTGATAGTTCTCTTTCCATTATACCCTGAACCCTAAGTAGGGCTTCATTAAAGCCATCAGTAGCTGGGGTGGGGCTTCTAAGTTGAGGGGCAATATGGCTTTATTAATATACCCCCTCAGAGGTTGAGCCAAGCAAGACCTTGGGATATGAGTTCCAGAAATATAATGCTTGGATTTAGGGCTTGTAACACCACCTCAAAGACAGAATTAAAGAGCTCATTCTGGGAAGCTAAAGCTAAAGATTTCCTACACGTGTCTTCATTTCTGTTCTTAAACATAGTGTTTTTAGTTAGAGCTGTTTCTGCCTGGACTTGATCTTCTCTGACTTTGGGGTCACAGTTGCACACACACACACAAAAACACGTGTGCACGCACAGATACACGTGCCTCCTCTCCTGAGTGAGGCCTCGGTGGATTTTGCAGCCCACCTCCTCATTTCTAGACTTGCCTCGCATTCAAAAGTGTTGCCTTACTTAGCATACGCCTTCTCCAGCAGAGCGCTCCAGAACTCATTGCGGTGGTTGGATTTGGTGAAAACCAGTTGATTGTTGTAGGTTGGCAGACAATCGTCAATAACCACGTCCACCCAGTCTCCATAGCGCCAGAACTGCACAGAAGCATCAGCACAGAGTCACATGCTCAGGTTACTATTGGAAAATGTGTCCCTACTCAACATTCCTTAGAGGTCTCTTTGATCCCAAAGCAGTCCAACTTCCTCAGCTCTGCATCTTGGTGCTTGTTCATACTATTCTAGGTCTGGGATGTGTGACTCTCTCTCTAACTGGACTGTGAGCTCCTTGAGGGCAGGAAGTGAGTTATAAACCACTTTGTCTTTTCCACAGAGTCCAGCCCAGGACTCGGGATAGTAGGTGCTTCATGAATATCTGAGGACTTGAATTTTTATTCTCCAGCTCAGTAGGTCTAGGGTGGGGCCTAGGTATTAGTGTCTAGGTATCTCAGCTGATTCTAATATGCAGCCAGGGTTGAGAGCTACTGGTCTAGGTGAAGGTAATGTATTGATTTATGCATTTCTTGATGACAAAAAAGGTAGAAATTGCTGTCGAAAATGAGGATTGACGTGGAAGAGAACGTGCCCAGAACATACTATGACCAAAGCAGGAAAATTGTCCAACAATTGCAATTCTGGATGTTGTTCTTTTTTGAACAACTCAGTTTTAACTGAAGAAAGTCAGATGTAGTTTAATTTTCTTCTAATGATGTATTTTCCCCTTGTTGACAAGAGGTAAAAAAATCTATCTTGTCTTTGTATTTATGTCCCTTTAGATACCATACCCTTTAAATATCAGAGAGAAACTAGCAGCTTGACAGCACAGGGGAGAAATAAAATTGAGGGCCTGTCTGCCTTACCCAGTGCTCGGATGGTAGCAGGATGCTAACTCTGAACCTGAAGAGAAGACCTTTCTGAGGTCTTCAGTCCTGAGGTACAGGATCAGCAGTTACATCAACTGATGGTTTGGGTCATTCCCAAGACATTTGGAGCCTTTGGGGCTGGAGATGGATGGATGCTTCAGAACCCTAGTATCTGCTAGATCCCCACATGTGGAACTCACTCAGTGGGGGACCAGCACAGGGATTTGGCTCTATGCCAGGGCAAGTTGGATCCAGAAAATGTCCAAAGGCTGAATTGAGTTTAGAACTAAGAAACCTAGTCCCCAGATTAACCAGACTTTCCTTCCTGAGTCTAGAAGAGACCAGTGATAGACTTGGTATAGACCTGCCTTAAATGGAAACAAGGTAACAGGAGCCACAGTTGTGGACAGGGTTTCCTTTACAACCTAAAGGGCCCTATGGATTCCCATGCTAATATCTCAGGGACCTACTTGAGAAGGACTGTGGGTAATAACACAGCAGCCAGCCAACTGGAGAGGCAAAAATAGACCTACAGGCCAGCAAACAGGATGTGTTCCTGCTTTTCTGGGGCATAGCAGAAGGTGTGTGCGGGGGACTGTGAGGGGCAGAAATAAACAACTGCTTCCTCACAGGCTGAGGACTTAAGGGGATCACTGCCCTCAGCCATGGCTTGGAGGGTGGGTAGAACCTTTCTGGAGCCACTGGGAAGTCAAAGCCAGGAGGCCAGTGGTGAGTGAATGGCAGCTGGACACTCCCTTGACCTCACCTGGAAGTGGAAGATCCCCGCATAGTTTTCGATGAAACTCTGATCATGGGGTATGACTCGGAAAAGTAGGTGCTCGTGGAGGGTCAGACAAGCAATGGCTGCGAGAAACCAGCAGTCCCCTGTAAGCAGACACGTGGCACAGGTCAAAGGAGGGGCCTGTACCTCCAGGCAAGAAAGAGACCCAATCCCAGTTGCTCCACTTCTCTGAGAGCAGAGTTTAAGTGGTGCTCACTGTCCTACCTCCAGATCTGACCTTACAGAGGTGCCAGTCAGGGAAGGAGTTTGACAGCAGTCCCTTAACCATGCGACCAACAGGGTAACTTACACCCTCCTGAGTGGTTTTCCATCTGCAATGCAACCTCATTTCCTTTTTGGACCTCAGTGGAAGCAGAGCAGTGGGTCATAACTGGGTCGTTCTTCATAAGGCCTGTAGGAAATCCGCCTGCCCCACATCTTTGCAAGGTGAGTCCATTTCCCCTTCTGGCCTCAGTGGAGACTGAGCATCTGAGTCACCAGTCAAGAGGGTTTGTGTTATAAGAAGTCATTAGGCAGCTGCTCTGGAACAGTCTGCAGGGGGCACTAAGACATTGCTGGCAATGGAATGAGATGGGGACATTTTCTTATTCCCTGAACTTCCTTTCTGGCAGAGTAGTTAGAGGCGATAGTGAGTGAGTGAGTGAGTGAGTGTGTGTGTGTGTGTGTGTGTGTGTGTGTGTGAGAGAGAGAGAGAGAGAGAGAGAGAGAGAGNCCTCAGTGGAGACTGAGCATCTGAGTCACCAGTCAAGAGGGTTTGTGTTATAAGAAGTCATTAGGCAGCTGCTCTGGAACAGTCTGCAGGGGGCACTAAGACATTGCTGGCAATGGAATGAGATGGGGACATTTTCTTATTCCCTGAACTTCCTTTCTGGCAGAGTAGTTAGAGGAGATAGTGAGTGAGTGAGTGAGTGAGTGTGTGTGTGTGTGTGTGTGTGTGAGAGAGAGAGAGAGAGAGAGAGAGAGAGAGAGAGAGAGAGAGAGAGAGAGGGAGAGAGATGTGGGGGGAGAGAGTGCTCAAGGGGCACTCCTGGTGCGTTGACAGTCACAGAACTGCCTTCAAGGAGGATGGGTTAAGTTATGCAAGGCCTTTATTTTGCTGTGTGGGATGTGATAGCAACTTTGAGACAGCCCCTCCCCCTGGTGCCCCCTGAAGCAGCCAGGCTTTCCGTTGGAACAGGGAATTGGGTAGAAGGCCCAGATTACTAGCTTGCCCAGGGCTCTGCAGGGACAGGAACCTAGCTACCAAAACCTCCTCAACCTCTCCTTCTGGGGCCAAATTAGTCCTATTCCTTACATTTGGTTGGTGCCCTTTATCCTCAAGTTTTAAACTGTATCTGTGGATATTCTCCCAACTTTACTTCACAGAGCTTCCCTGTGGTCGGCACCAGAGGTGACACCGCCTGAACAAGAGGCAGAGAGAGGGGGCGGTCTGATGGGGTAGCCAAGCTAACTAGCCAGTCAGAAAACTGGATAATCATCCACAGGGCAAATGTTGTCTTTGTTGAAAGACCTTTAATTTTTAATTAAAAAAAAAGATTTTAGAGAGAGAGGAAGAGAGAACCAGAGAAAGAAAGAGAGAGACATCAATTTGTTGTTCCACTTATTTATGTATTTGTTTAGCTCTTTCTTGTATGTGCCCTGACCGGAGATCAAACCCACAACCTTGGAGTATAGGGGTGACGCTCTAACCAACTGAGCTACCCAGCCAGGCTGAAAGACTCTTTTAATATGGAACTATTGTTCTGGGGCAATTTAAACAGGAGTGTGAGTTACAAGCCCCCTTTTTGGTACTGTGTTTTGTGTGTACATATAGATTCTATGTGCCCAAGGGACATGCTTGGTACACAGATAGTTTCAAAGCTGCCTTTTTTTTTTTAAGTGTATTTTATTTATTTTTTAAAATTTATTTTATTGTGGAAAGTATTACAGCTGTCCTCCATTTTCCCCCCTTCCCCATCTCCACCCCTCCCCATCAGAGTTATCTTTTAAGGAAGCTAAAAACAGTCAAAAGCAGGGCTTTGTCTTGCTGAGTGGAGTGTGTGACCGTCCTTCAGACTCTAGAGGGGAGGCTGCGGAATGAGGTCTACCTCCTGGGACACTCGGCTAAAACTAATGAGAAATGTGGGAGGAACAGAAATTAAATGAAGCAATCATCAGCACATAAAGTAATGTTATGAAAACAAAAGCAGATTATTGCCCCTTTATTCCCTGTAAAGGGATCACACCTTTTAACCCCTCCTTGATTGTTTAGCTGGATATAACCTGAGGGACTTTCCTACCTAATTCTCCTTGACAGATGTCAGTTCTATTGGCTCCACCAATGATAAATCGAGGGTTCTCGCAAATTTCCTGTGAAACAAAAGGAAAGAATGACAGTAGTAGTAGCTATTATTTATTAAGGTCCATTGTGTAGTACTGGCATTGTGTATCAGGAGTATTACACACACCACTCATTTAAGTATCTAAAAACATCTCGTGAATTGGATACCATCATCCTTATTTTTTAGGTAAGGAAACCAAGGTTCAGAGATGTTAAGAAACTTGCCTAAGGACACACAGCCAGTAAGTGGTAGAAGCCAAAAGCATGCCTCCTTTTCCCATTGTTCCGCTCTGCTCTCTCACCCTGACATACTGTCTTACTAAGGATGTACCCTCAGAGGGCAGTGTTTTTACTGTCACAGCTTTGGCAAAGGGATAACAGAAAGCATGGCTGGTTTTTTTTGTTTTTTCGATGACAGGAAAAGAGATCCAGGAGGGAAAATAAGGATCTTTCTCCCAAGATGTGGTAACAGATATTTAGAGTCAGCGTGTATGTTCCAGGTCCACAGAACTTGAGAAATGGGGAGAGCAGAGAGTGAATCTGGTGTGTGGCTTGCAAGTCTTCCCTTCTGTTGGAGGGTGCATTTCTTTATTTAAACTAACCCAACACACCAGATGTGGCTCAGTGGTTGAGCATTAACCTAGGATCCAGGAGATCGCAGTTGGATTCCCAGTTAGGGCACATGCCGGGGTTGTGGGCTCGATCCCCAGCAGGGGGCATGCAGGAGGCAGCTGGTCAATGACTTTCTGTCACCATTGATGTTTCAACTCTCTCCCTCTCCCTTCCTCTCTCTGAAGTCAATAAAGATATATTTTTTAAAAAAGAGCCAAAATTTAAGAAAAGATAATTTTAAAAAGCAATCTGTAACAGCTGAAAACAATGTGAAGCAAAAGAACCCAACTGCATATCAAGTTGATGACATGACTACACACATAAAAAAAGTGAGTTTAAGTGACTTAATTAAAATGTAGCATTTTGGCTGTTTATCCATTTTGGGTTATATCCTAAGGTCAAAAACCAAAACCATAACAATATAAACCATAAGAAATAATAATTATATTGTTATTATTTTAAAACTTTGATATGTATATTGTAGGATAAAATAAGTAAGAACTTACTTTAATGTTATTAGGAACCAAGGTGTTTTTTTTTTCAGTGTAAAAGAAAATATGTAAAATTATAAAACTGAATAACTTAAGTAACAACCCTGAAGTGTTAAAGTTGAATTGAATATATAACTCATGATTTATTTTTGTCTCTTTAAAAAACATTTCCTATCTCTCTTCACTAAAACCAACCAAACAAAGAAACAAAACAACTAGAAGCAATAACAGTCTGGTAGTAAAGAGGACATCAACATCACAATTGTAGTTTTTAAAAACCACTAATAAAATGTAAAATTCATTATTCCAAACAAGGCTCTGTCCTCTTAAAAAACAAAGAAGCCGCCCAGCCGGGAGTGGCTCAGAGGTTGAGCGTCGACCTAGGATTCAGGCGATCGGGGTTCGATTCCCAGTCAGGGCACATGCCCAGGTTGCGGGCTAGGAAACCGATCAATGACTCTCTCATCATTGATGTTTCTGCCTCTCTCTCTTTCCCTCCTTTCCTCTCTCTGAAATCAATAAAGATGTGTTAAAAAAAAATAATAATAATAAATCCCAAAGAATTAAAAACAAACAAACACAAAAACAAACAAAAAACACAAAGAAGCCAATTAAGGTATAGTGGACATATGTTATTTTTATCTCCCCAGTGTTTTGCCTGTTTGAAATACATTCCCCCTTCTCTTGGGATTATATCTCAATTTTCCACTGGGGAGCAACCCCAGTGTCAGCCCATGTTATTTTGATGAGTCCCCCCCTTCCCTCATTTCCACATGTATAATAGGGGCAGTTAGAGTGAGAGTGATTGGTTCAGGATGGGCACTTGACCAAATCTGGCCCAATGAGATATGGACCAAGACTTTTGTTGTAACTATTGAGAAAGAAAAAAAAAATCCATCCTTCTGCTGGAGTTGCTCAACTGGTTAGTCTGAAGCTGCTGGTGGCAGCTTTGCCCCACTATGAAGTTAATCTACTTGAGAATAAAGCCAACCCAGGAAACAGATGGGGAAGTGGAGGTCAGAGGAGGGAGGTGAAAGATGATAGATAGATAGATAGATAGATAGATAGATAGATAGATAGATAGAGGGGACTATATCTTGATGACATGGTTTGAGGGCTGAATTCAGTGTCTATACCCAACATCACCCTTAAATATTCAAGTTATATGCGCTTTCTTGGCCTAAGCTAGTTTGAGTTGGGCCTCTGTTATTTGCCAGCTGAGACACTTGACTACTGTAGGTTCTGCCCGTGTTATAAGGAATATATTATAGAGTGACTCAAACACTGGATTTTTAGCTATGTCTTTTAGCTGTCACAGGTGCAGCTTCTTCTCTTTGGGTCTATAAGTTCAGAAGCACCCCTCATCCTCCTGCCTCCTACCAATTCCAGGGCTGACTGCTTGGAAATGGAGCAGCAGCTACACTGATATCTAGTCTGTTTGGAGGCCCAGGTTTTTGAAGGGAGTGGACATTGTTTTACAGTAGTAGAGATTCCCTAATAAGCCACATTTACCCTCAACTGTACCTCAGCTGAATTCACCAAACATTAACTGAGTCCTCAAGTATGTAGAGAACCGGGGGAATTAGGATCCAATAAAAATGGGATATCATATCTTTCTGTCCTTTAGCTAACCCACAGCCTAGTAACCCTCAATTGCCCTCATAAGAGATGCTGTTTGGTGAGGGTCAGTTACCAAGTTTGTTGAGTGTTAATTCATCAAAAATCTCTGATTAGCTTAGATACCCTCTCCCTACCATCTACTTATCCCTCTCTCCTTACTTATAAACATTGCATAAATATCCCCTAGAGTGTGGAGACCTGTTTGTGTTGGTTGGTATGAATAGAGGGTAAGTGGTCCCAGCTCTGTCATTTTAGCTTGAGTACCTAAGCTACTAGTGGACCTCTAGCTACCCCTTTGGCTATAATCTAACCTGAAGACTGGATCTGCCAATGATGGGTTCCCAGCAATAAACAACAGATTACCATTTCCTCTGTTCTTGAGAACTGTGGTTTGCATAGTGTCTCCAAACTTTTTAAAAAATATCTCCATCATTAATATTTTGAAAATGCAACCCTAGGTAAATATTCTTATTAGTTTTAAATTATATTAATGAATATTGTCCTAACATATAATGTACATTATAAAATAAACAAAAACATACATTTAAAAGGATGGGCTATAATAAATATATGTAAGGGACTTCTGGCCAAGAACTTTCCAAAATTAATGACAGTTACCAAACCACAGATCCATGAAGCCCAAAGAGCATCAAGCAGAGTAAATATCAGTAAAACAAAACAAAACAAAACTACATTTAGGCATATCATATTCAAACTGCAGATAATCAAAGACAAAGAAAAAAATCTTAAAAAGAATCCAAGAGGGGGAAAAATAGCTTTCCTATAGAGGAACAAAGATAAAAATTACAGCATACTTCTCTTCAGATCCTATGCAAGCAAAGAAGATTGGATTGATATATTTACATTGATAAAAGAATAACCCACCAACCTAGAACTCTATATGCAGAGTGATTACCATTCATAACTAAAGGAGAAGTAAACTCTCAGACAAATAAAATCAGAGGCAATTCATTGCTAGCAGATTTGCCTTGCAAAAAAATGTTAAAAGAAGTCCTTCAGGGAGAAAGAAAATGACATAGGTCAGAAACCTGGATCTACATAAAGAAAAGAAGAGCATCAGAGGAGGAATAAATTCAGGTAAAATAAAACTTTTACTTTTTTATTCTTTAAAAAATTTTTTTAATATATCTTTACTGATTTCAGAGAGAGGAAGGGAGAGGGAAAGGAAGAGACAGAAACATCAAGGATGAGAGAGTCATCATTGATTGGCTGCCTCCTGTACACCCCCGACTGGGAACTGAGCCCACAATCCAGGCATGTGCCCTGACCGGGAATTGAACCTCGATGCTCAACTGCTGAGCCATGCTACTTTTTTATTCTTAATCTAAAAATAACTTTGTTTAAAGTAATAACAATAACAACAGTGTTGAGTAATTGTAACATATGGATAAGTGAAATGAATGACAATAATGTCATAAGGGAAGGAAGTGACGAATGGGAATTTTCTATTATAAGGTACTAGACTACACATATAATGGTATAGTGTTATTTGAAGATGAAATTGGATTAGTTGTATATTGGAAACTCTAATCATTAAGATTTTTTAAAAAAAGAAGTATAATTGATATACTTAAGAGAGGAGATAAAATGGAATCATAAAGAATACTCCATTAAAACCAGGGAAGGCAGGAAAGGAGAGAAACAAAAAACAGTTGCAGCAAATAGAAAACAGTTACAAACATGGTAGATGTTAATCCAACTATATGATAATAACTTAAATGTTAATGGTTTAAATACACCAATTAAAAGATAAAATTTTTTCTCTAAAAAATTCACTTTAAATACAAAGATTCAGATAGCTAGAGAGGGATATACCATGGTAACACTAATCAAAAGAAAGCTGGGCCCAGCTGGTGTGGCTCAGTGGCTGAGCATCGACCTATGAACCAGGAGGTCATGGCTCAATTCCCCGTCAGGGCCATGCTTGGGTTTTGGGTTCGATCTCCAGTAGGGGGAATGCAGGAGGCAGCCGATCAGTGACTCTCTTTCATCATTGATGTTCCTATCTCTCTCTCCCTCTACCTTCCTCTCTCCGAAATCAATAAAAACATATTTTAGAAAAAGAAATCTGGAATATTAATTTCAGATAAAGCATATTTTATAACAAGAAAAACTATCAGAGATAAAGAGATGCACTACATAATGATAAAGGAGTCATTTCTCTAACAAAACATACAGCCTTAAATGTGGGTACATGTAACAACAGAGTGTTAAAGGACATGAAGCGAAAAGTGATATTTCTGAAAAGAGAAATAGATGAATCTAGTATTATATTTGGAGACCTT